GATGTAGGATTTCGTCGTTTATCAGTAATGTGTGCACAGATATTTTTGTCCTCAAGCATTTCGTTAACTTGGTTTTGATAGTCAGCGCGGTTCATTACTACAACTGCGTTTCCTTTGTCGGCTTTAGTAATCAAAATATCTTTATTACCCCGTAAACTTTTTAATGCTTTCTCTTCCAAGCGTGAAAGGTTTTTATTTTGTGGACATTTAGCATGTTTTACTACGGCGCACACCCTCTCTCTTACTTCATTCTTTTCGTCGTTAAGTAAATGTACACATTTACCTAATAAAAACATTTAAAAAAACATTTACCTAACGACGAAAAGAATGAAGTAAGAGAGAGGGTGTGCGCCGTAGTAAAACGTGCTAAATGTCCACAAAATAAAAACCTTTCACGCTTGGAAGAGAAAGCATTAAAAAGTTTACGGGGTAATAAAGATATTTTGATTACTAAAGCCGACAAAGGAAACGCAGTTGTAGTAATGAACCGCGCTGACTATCAAAAAAAAATTAACGAAATGCTTGAGGACAAAAATATCTATACACACATTACTGATAAACGACGAAATCCTACATCAAAAACTGAATTAGAACTACAAGATCGTTTACTTAGGTTAAAGGATACAGGACACCTTACTGAAAATCAATATAAAAGTTTAAGACCCTCTGACTCATATCCCGCGGCTTTCTACGGATTACCAAAGATACACAAAATACCTCTCATTGAAAAAGTTGATCATTTCACCGTAGATACCAACGTCAAAATACCTATGAGACCAATTAATAGTTGTATTGGATCCCCTAACTATCAAGTCTCTAAACATTTGGCATCCGTGTTAAAACACCTCTACGAAGGCGATCATGCGGTTAGAAATTCAAAAGATTTTGTTGATTTTGTAATCTTTAATCTTTAATAAAATTATTTAAACACGGTAGCCTGTTCAGCAGATAATATTTACAGCGCTGGTTTTCAAAGGGCCGTGTGTTTACAACAATAATATAAAAAGGACAAAAAGAATATAACTATTTACAATGAATTGATACGGATGAATTAAGTAATTGCCGTTTAAACGACAAAATTGAAAGATTTTTATAATTTTCAATAGTTTCACTTGGAAGTTCGTTCCAGGAGTTAGCAGCTCTATAGGAGAAACTTCGTTTGAGAAAATTTGTCTTAGGTTTGGGTAGGTTCAATTTAATTTGATTGCTTCTTAGATTGTAATTGTCATTTTGACTTACTGAAAACAATTTTTCAAGGTATCGAGGTAATCGACCAGTTAGTACTTTAAATGTCATTATTAACTGTCGTTGTTTTAGAAGTTCTTCTATTGGAAGCCAATTAAGACTATCTAGCGTTTGCATGGAACGAACCTCGTATGTGTCCCCTGTTATCACACGCGCTGCTCTCTTCTGCAGTATAAACAATTTATCAATTATCGAACAACATCCATCATTCCAGATTGTTGAACAATAATTGAAATTTGGCCACACTAAGGCATTGTAGATTTTTATCAGACTATCTCTATTGACAAACAATTTTGCTCTTTTCAGCAGGGCGATATTATTTGAAATTGTTTTACATTGCATTTCATTATGTTTATTCCATTTTAGCTGGTCGTCAAGGATCATGCCTAGTGACTTTTTTTGGTAAACTCGCTTAATGTTGTTTCCCCCTAATGTTAGTACTGGGCTATTTTCAATTGAAGATAAGCGACGTCTTGATCCTATTATCATAAATTCACTCTTTTTCATATTTAATGCGAGCTTGTTAGCTGTCAACCACCTATGAACATTTTCAATGTCTTTATTAAGTTTGATCTCAATTTCATATGGACTAAACCCTTCACAAGAAAGGCTTCTGTCATCAGCAAAAAGATTTGCTTTAGTTGTCTCTAAACAGTTAGGAAGATCATTTATGACCCAAACAGTAGAACCCGATGAACAAATCGTGTCCTTTGATGTTACTTCGCTTTTCACATCAATTCCGGTAGATTTAGCACTAAAAATCGTTAAAGAAGAACTAGAAAATACAGAGATTTGGAAAGAGCACACAAAGTTGACGATAGAACAGATTTACAGTCTTTTGGCTTTTGTCTTAAAAAATAGCTTTTTTGTGTTTAATAGAAATCACTACCATCAGATTTATGGTTGCGCAATGGGTTCACCAGTAAGTGCGGTTATTGCTGAGCTAGTTATCCAAAGAGTGGAAAAAATTGCTTTGAGAACATCCCCAGTGCCGATACGATGGTGGAAAAGATATGTTGATGACTCAAACGCGTGTTTAAAACAAAACGATATAATAGCTTTTCATGATCATTTAAATTCTATAAATCCTTGTATTCAGTTTACCATTGAAACACCGGCAGTAAATGGAGACATGCAAACAATCGCTTTCCTGGATACAGAGATTTGTAAAATTTCTACAGACATTTCGATTAAAGTTTTCCGTAAGAGCACACACACCGACAAATATCTAGATTTTGGCTCACATAGCCCTGTAAGAGACAAGATCGCAGTTGTAAAATCATTATTAGACCGAACGAGAGTTATTCCATCAAACCAAGTTTTACAGAAGGAGGAAACGGATAGAGTAGCAGAAGTGTTAGAGTTAAATGGATACAAGAAAGCGTTTATTGATAATGTTAGAAATACAAACAAAACACAACAAAATTCTTCTGAATTTGAGATTCGTGGCTCGACGTGCATTCCGTATGTGAAAGGTGGTCGGAAAAAGTCAAAAGCATTTTAACTCAAGCAGGCGTTCGGACAGCATTGAAGCCGATAGTCACGTTAGAGAACGTATTCAAAAAAACAAAAGAAAGACCACAGGAAATGCGAACAAAAGCTATTGTGTACAAATTCAAATGCGAGTCGTGCTCATTCACTTATGTCGGGGAGTCAAAAAGATGTTGGTGTTCCCGATGGCTTGAACACAAAGCAGGCGTAAGAAAAAAGACTTTTTCAGCTATAAAAGAACATGCTAAACAGACAGGTCATGAAGTCGCTAAAACTGACGTAAATATTTTGGAAAAAGGCATTAAAAACTATGACAAAAGAAGGTTTCTTGAAGCGTTACATTCTGTACTAGACAAAAATGCAGTCAATGAACACATAGAATTTCCGGTTTCGTATTTACCATTGTTAGAATCAATTGAGTGTAACGGGATAAGGCATAAAAGGACTTGAACTAATCGAACACGGCCAAAATACTCTGAAGAAGGCTGCAGTTGGCAGCCGAAAATCTAGTATGTTTTTATTGACGATTTTTAATAGATCAGTTACAAACTTTTACAAAAATATCATGTTATCGGATCCACTGATCGCCCTAACAGTATATATATATATATATATATATATATATATATATATATATATATATATATATATATATATATATATATATATATATATATATATATATATAGTTTTCGTTTTACCTCAAAAAACCACAACAGTCTGTTTCATCCGTATAGGAATCATGAGTGTATTGTTTGCGTTGTTTTAGAACGATGATTCCTATACGGATGAAACAGACTGTTGTGGTTTTTTGAGGTAAAACGAAAACTATATTACGCTCTATCTATATGGTATTGAGCACTGTTTGTGTTTCGTAAACCAAAATCTTAAGCTATATATATATATATATATATATATATATCCGACTCAGTCTCAACTTTTCCTGTTCACTAAAAAATACTTACTTACGGTGATTAACATATATATATATATATATATATATATGTATATATATATATATATATATATATATATATATATATATATATATATATATATATATATATATATATATATATAATTATATAATGTTTCCGTCATTCCGCTAATTCCGCCATTTAAGTTTTAAGATTCTTCTATTCAAGGTTAATATAATGCGGATAATTAAAGAGATAAGCATCATTAATACTAAAGACTCCTATACACGTCCACAATCATATTAAATGGACCTCGATCGATCATTAAAAGATAAGATATAAATAAATCACTTTCGAAATTATATAACATGTTTATAATTAGCAATTTTTTTAAACCTGCATGGGACTTTGAACTTTCCACTAATGATGGTATTTGAAGGAATGTTAAATATAGTCTATTTTGCAAAAACGTCTGATGAAAAAGAGTTATTATGTAACAATTATCGAGCTTAAGCCGAGCCAAAAACATATTCTATGCCCACGAACATTAACTCTACCTTTATATATACATATATTATATATATATATATATATATATATATATATATATATATATATATATATATATATATATATATATATATATATATATATATATATATATATATAGAAAAGGTTTCAATGTGCAACCAAAAGAGACATTTATAACGTAAAATAAAATAAAAGCCACTCAAATTTTGCACAAACGTTTTCGCTTTAATGTTAGCTCCTCAGGTGCATAGTTTACAATGAGTGGAATTTAGTTTATCTATTATCTACGTTCTATGATATCATATTATAATAACTATGTTAGGAATGCATATATTTACATGGTGTGAAGTCACCCGTTAAAAACATTCTATTGATCTAAATGTAAGCATAAACTTAATGGTTTTTTAATTAGCGTTCAGATCCGGATTCAGTATATTGATAAGTTCTTTTTCTTTCATCTCCCTAAAAAGTCTGTCCGTGTTAATGCATTGATATATAGGCATTATTTTGAAAATTCCATTGTTACACATATTTAAGTGTTCGCTTACTTTTAGATGTCTATACTTTTCGTGTCGAATTTGTTCCTTGTGCAATGTCACTCTTTTTCGTAAGTTTTCTGTCTGGCCGACGTAGAAGCTGTCGCATTTTGAGCAAATGATCACGTAAATGACATATCTCGCTTTGCAGTTCATCGTCGAATTGACTTTCCAGGTTTTTCCGCTCTTTAATGTAATAGACTTTCCTGTGATTAAAACATCGCATGTTCCACATCGCTTTTCCTCGCATTTTGTTACATGCACAGTGTTCTCTGTCCTCTGAATTGAATTGTGTTTTTGTCAAGTATCGCTTCAAGTTCTTCGGTTGGCGTTTGCTTACAATGAGTTTTGTTCTGTCTAATACTCGCGGTTTCATTTTCTCAGAATTGTTTAGAAATTTAAAGTTCTCCCTTATTTTTCCAATTACTTGAGGATTGTTAGGATTATGAGTTATTACTAAAGGCAAGACATTGTCATCAGTTTTATGTTTTGGAGCCCTCAATTCCTCAATGTTCTTTGACGAAACCTTCTGCATGTATTCCGTTTTTTATAAGCAATTTCGGATAGTTCTGCTTTTGTAGGAAATATTCTAGTTCATCAAGACGCTTTTTCTTTAAATCTTGATTTGTTACAATTGCACAGATCCGTCTTGCCAGTGTGTAGGGAATGTTTGATTTTGTATGTCCAGGATGACATGAATGATAATCCAGATATTGGTGTGTGTCCGTTTTTTTGTAATGTATATCACTTTCTAACCGTTCCGCGTTCTTGTAGAGTAGTATATCCAAAAACGGTAGTTTCTTATTGTCATATTCCATCGTGAACTGTATTTTTGGATGAAGTGAATTTAACATTTTATGAAGTTCCTCGAGTTCTGCTTCTGTCTTCTGCCAGGGTAGAAAGCAGTCGTCTAAGAAACGTTTAAACAATTTCACAAAGTTTTCTTTT